GTGACCTCGGTTACCACCTTAGTTATGTGTGAAGAACCTTAAATCCTCTGGTGTTGTCTTTTTACCAGATCACACATAAGTTTGTAAAGAAAATGATCAGAGGCACTGATGCAAATTAACCACAGTTTAGTTAATCACAATAATGCTAGGCATAAATAGTCAATTCATTTTTATTGTACAATATCAACCACTTTAAAATCCTAAATCTATGCTGGCCCTGGAAACCTTACCGCTGATGACCAGTTACTTTGATTAGATAAAATCAGACTGCTTGGGGGAGAAATAATAATTTAAAAAAACAAATGTAACTGAATACACCTAGGTGTTCCCAAACAAAAACACACTCGCAACAAAAGAAAAACTCCTGGTGAATAACACAAAACAAGAAACTCCCCTTCCACTAGTCTCCTCAATCTAGATAAAACAGCTTGGAACCAGGGACAGCACAGGTTATCTACAAGCGAGCCTGGAAGGCTGAACAATAAAAACTCCCAAAAGAATAAAAAGTTTAATCCATAAATAACCAAAACAAACTAAAACTGAAACAGTAGCAGACAACAGAGAATAAAATTAAACAGATATTTTAAATAACCACATAATAATGAACTACCTTTACCTTCGCTAAAAGCTAGCAGAGCTCTGTATGTCCTCTCCAAGAGGAGGTTTCCTGCAATAAAATGGAGCCATCAGAAATAATTCTCAACCCAGCGCACACTTCATGTTAACCATACCTGCAGAGAAATCAGCCTGGACTCTCACCCTCTCAGCGATCTACCCGCTTTTAAATGTAAATACCGATTGCTTGCCTCCGTAATGAATCAGCTGCGCTAAAACAGCGTCTTCCTTATATGGGCAACCGGAAGAGTGCATAATGGACATAATGCCCCGGCTACATTTAAATCCAACTTATAAGTTAGAAAGAGTGGTAAGTTTCAGAAAACTGAAACTTCAGTTTTCTGCTGTTAGAACCACTAAGATCAGTTGGAACTGTTGCACTTTCTGGCAGTTGATTGGCAGTTGTTTTCAGTTCAACTGAAGGTAAAGCCTATAAATAATGTATTTTTATTTTACTTAATTCATTTTCTTTAAGTCAAAACTTAAAAAATATGCATTTTACACTGTCTAGTGCCCTCCGTGTCTGGAATGAGAGTCCCTGTCTAGTTGTTTTGAACGTGCTGCACTGAGATCGGTGAGCATATTTTGTAGCTTTCATTTGGTTTTTGTTCTTTTATCTTGTTGTCAAATAATGATCTTTATTGACCTACTTAGTTATTAAAACGTGAACCTTTGCTGAGTTTGTGTAAAATGTAATGTTTTATTGTTGTTCTTGGAAAAGGATTTTTCGAACAGTTATGAAACATAATAAGCTAGAATGGTTTAATAATAATTCTATGTTTCTGCTGGTCTTGTCTGTTGACAGATCAGGTTTTTTTTGTTGTTGTGTTGTTTTTGGGTTTTTTTGCTTTTTCTTCTCTTCTCCTGGATTGTTCCTGGAGTGGATTCCTCTACTGACTTTGATGGCGAGCCTTCCCACCTGGACTTAGAAAGATCTGGATTTCCCATGTTGAGTGAGACCTGAACCAGGATTTAATTTGATTCATTTGTCATCTAAAAGAGATTAGAGTGCAAACTACCAGGGTGCACCCAATAGATTTAAATTTGATATTTAGCACTTGGCCAAGTATTGTTGTTTTTATTTTATGTATTTTATTGTGTGTAATTTTATTTTCTTTATTGTATGTCTTGTCAACTTGTGAGTTTATGATTCACGTTACTAAAGCTAATTGTTTTTTAAATTCACTCAACTGTGTATGTGTGTTATTTAAACACCCATCGTGCTCCGACAGCCGAACCTATTGGCCCATCTACCTAAAACATATTGTACCCTTCTCAACTGTGTTACATTTGGATTTTCATCCAATTGGGAGAAACGTAGAAAACAAAAAGCTGATGGATGGTAAATGTCCCAGCTGGATGTTTGACTGTTGCACATTCAGATTGTGAAGAGTTCGCCTCAGGTCGTCTGCTTCCACATGAGCGGCGGTCGAGTTTTAGTCTGCGGCTGTGAAGCCGGAGCAGTCAGGCGGAGGCGCAGGGCCTCCTGTGTTTTTTGTTCTGGGTGGGTTTGTTTACGGCTCTGGGTGCTGGGATCCATCTGGGATCAGCCCTGAAAGCTGTTATCTCAACCGAGTGTGAGACTCTCACCATCTGATCCATGTTACCTCTGAGGAAAACAGGGAGATTTTCCACTGAAAGCAGAGAGCTGCAGCTTCACAGGCTCATGTTTACATAACAAAACATGCAGGAAAATATGTTCTATCCGTTCTGATCGTTTTCCAGAAAAATGTGATCATGTGACAAGAAAAGCTTCTTTCAGATCAGAAGAGAAACATGAAGGTTTCTTTCATTAAACAGCAGAGAAGATAATAAAATATTAAGAAATGGTTCAAAATGGCAGCACAGAATCATGAAGGCTTTAGAAAATGAAAAATAGGAATAAAATGTGGAGCACAGAAAAAAGCATTTATACACTATTTGTTTAGCATGTTTCATTATACAAACACAAATTTTAATGCATTTGTTGAGATTTAAACTTTGCTGAAAGAAAACCTTAAAATGTCCTAGTTAAAGTCAGAAGACCTGTAGAGAAACTGAGGGAACAGATGAAGTTAATCTAAACTTCTCAGATGGTGATTTGGTTTCATTTAATCTTTATTGGAAAACACTTTAAATTAGCCAAAGAAATAAAAATAAGAACAATAACAGAAACTAAAAGGTTTGTTAAAAGCTGAGAATTTAAAACTGGATTCTGAAAAGTGATAAAAAATGAACGAGCATCTCAAAGAGATGCAAAGATCTACTGCAGATATTTTACTATAAAAAGACTAAACCAACTTACATGCAGCTTTTCAACAAGAAATATGAACTTTTTTTCAGTACAAAAATCCTTAATATTGATTAATAAATGTCCCAGTTTCATTGGCAAATTATTTCACTTAATGAAACATTTTCCATGTTTTCCTGTTCTCTCTCTCTCTGGGTTTGTGGACAGATGTGTCTCTGGTGCTGCAGATGGAAAATGTTTTAGGGATATAAACAGTTCACATCTACAAATAAAACATTGTAAATAGTTTTTCTGTAAAAATCAGAACACTGTTCTTTCTTTCATTCATATTTTTCTGCCTCGGCTTCATTCATGTTCAGATTAAAACAACGATCTGCTTCTTTTCTGCTCCAGATTCTTGGTGAATCCGTGTTGAAGCGGAATGAAGCGGACTGAGCCTCGCCTCCTTCGGGTCGGTTCCGGTCCGTCACATGGAGTCCAACCTGTCCTGCTCCATGTCCTCCATGAGGCGTTCAGGTGCAGTTTAGAAACACTGAGATTAAAAAGTTTCAGAAGAATGTTTTATTTAATTTAAGACCAAGAGAAAATCATTATTCTGAAGACTTATTTAATGTAATTCAAACATTTTAAAAACTTCTTGTTTGAGACATTCAGCTGCAGAAAATGGAAAATCAGGAACGTTTTCTGGAAAAAGAGACAAAACTGACAGAAAATCACCTCTGAACATCTGCAGGTTTCTGCTGCTCCATTTAATAATCTCTTCATAAATCAAAGACGTTCAGATTAGAATGGAGACTTTGTACAATAAATATCTGTTTGTGCTGCAGAAAAGTAACAATTTTAGACGCAAAACGCTTCGTCCTCCTGCAGGGGACAAAGATAATCATAAACAGATGCAGGATGTGTAACAAAGGAGTTGTTTCAACAACGCAACAGGAATATAAATAATCCAGTATGTCCATAACATGACTCTGGACGTCCATCGTTGGAGACAGAAGGTCAGAGGTCATGTTAATCAGGACTAACAGGAGCTCAGTGTTAACTCTGGTTTCCTTTCAGTTATTCATCAAAACGATACAAACAGATTTTAATATTAATTTTCTTATTTTCATAGAACTTTGGGTCATTTGTTTCTGGATTTTTAATGTCATGTTGATTTCAGGTGCACAGTCCTCATCTTTGTTCAGTCCAGGAAAAAACAAGCTGAATTTTTAATTTTCCTCATTTCATCATGAAAGACGGACGTTGTTGTTTTCCCTCCCATTCAGACATTAATATATGGAAATAGCTTCACCTTTCACTTTTCAACCACATTTAAAGCTTTAAATGCACCTGCAGGATTTTTTAAAAATTTCATTTCATTCTTCTTCATTTCTTGTAGCATATGGACAAATATCTGCTTTGTAATGCAAAAACATTACAAAGCAGATATCATTAAAGGTCTGAAATATAAATAACTGAATGAATAAAGCCCTACATGATCATAATTCCAGACAGGTGAAACAAAATGTTGCCCCTGGATTATAAATCAATTCTGTTGTCACGTTTTAAAATAAAGATAATTGCAACTATTTTGCTTAATGTTAAAATGCATTAAAGTTGCACATTTTACAGCTGATTAATTTTTAAAATCTAGTTTTTCGTCTAGGTTTATAGAACAGGTGCAGAGTCATGAGCGAACGACCTTCCTGTTAGTGGATGGAGATAAGGAGCTCTGCAGCAGCTTCCTGATGTGGGTCGAGCTCACATTTCCTACAGTCCGCGAAGGCGCCACCAACCTCATTCATTGTAGACTGAAGCGGACGGACCGGAGACGCCGAACCGCACCGAGGAGCTGCTAAAAAGGACCCGGTTCCCCGCGGTGAGTCGTCCGAGACGTTTAAATGTTGGTTGGGTTGTGTTTTGGAGCCGCCCGGAGCCGCTGCCCCGCCGCGGTCTCTCCGCACGGCACGGCGCGGCGCAGTTTCCGGGTTTTACCGCCTTTGTGCACACGGCACCGGTCTGGTGCGGAGCGCACAAACCAACGTGTTTCTGTTTACCTCCGCTGTGTGAGCGGGTCCGCAGCGGGACACTGACTCGCGTGGCCGCTCAACACGGTGTTTAAAAAACGGTTTCTGGTTAAATTTGACCGGCGGGCTGCGGTCCAGACTCGGCCCGGAACCAGGCCTGATTCCGGGCCGCAGCTCCGGGAACATCCCGCCTGTCAGCATCCAGGGCGGGGAGTCCGATCGGGGCTGCTAGCCTGGGAAACCCGGTAAAAACACAGTTTATTTCAACAAGTGGCCGCATTATTTAACTCTAACTACCTCTAATGATTAGCTATAGTAAGACTAGTTTCGATCTGCGGTATGACTAATATAATCCGGAATAATCCGGTATGACTCGGGTTTTCCTTTTATTCTTTGCCAAACTCCGTTCAGAAAAACAAACATTTTAATATTTCTTTGCCACACAGATGATGAGGGATGTAATTTTTTGCCCCAGTATTTATTAAAAGCTTCTTTTTAATTCGGCTCATCTTTTAGAAAACCCTAAACATTATTTTTGCCGATCCTCATCTTTTCCTTGTATCTATCTGTCAACTCCAGAGCTTAACAGGATTTTCAGAATAAATGTTTTTAGGCTAATCTGATCCTTAAATTCCTGACATGTGGCTCCCATTGTGTAACACTGATCACTCCTTCAGTTTTCCACAGGCTACTGGAGCTTATTATAACTTTATTAAAGACACAAATAGATTCATCTGAGAAAATAATAATTTAAAAAATAAAATCCACGAGCTGAACCTTTTGTTGGGCCTTGGTGAATATTTAGGCTGATTAAATGTTAAAAATGTGGAATCTTAAGAAACGCAGAGTTCCCCTTTGGCCTGTTTCACTTCCTTCCTCTGAAGCTGCTTTTAAAGGTTAGAAGATGATTTAATTCTGGGGATTTTTGCTCTGAATGTGAAACCAAGAGGCTGATTCATCTTTAGGGAATGTTTAAACTAACCAGCATCACTCAGTAAAGGTCTGACTGGTTTAAAATGATGCATTTTAAAAAAAATCTTTCTTTATCTTTGAGTCATTCTGCTCAGCATCAGAATCTCTGAATCTTCCAGTTTTTCTGTCCTCCAGTGATCCAGACGAGACGTTTTGTCCCAGCAGAGATGCTGAATGACCAGATGGCTGCAGCCATCTTGGCTGCGACGCTCTGCTTTGCTGCCAGCTGCGTCTGGGCGGCGGCCGACTGCTCGCCGTCCCCCACCGAGGCCTCCGGCGGCGCCCGGCTCCTGACCGCCGTGGTGGACGCTCAGAGGGCTGAGCGGGCCCGAAGGCAACACCTGGAGGCGCTGTTCCATAGGTGAGCTGCTGCTGTTGCTTTGAGTGAGGAAGAAACGAAGCATCCAGGGCGGGGAGTCCGGTCCGGGCTGCTAGCCTGGGAAACCCGGTAAAAACACGCTTATTAACTACGAGAGGAAATGAGTTCATGGTACGATGTGCTGGAGCGTTTCTCTGAACATTTACAGTTCAGAACATGCAGCCACAACTAAACTGCTGAAGATTTTCCTGACACACTTTTTCCTTCCACTCAACTTTCTTTGACTATTAGGGTTCCAACAATTATTTTAGTAATCAATGATTTTGACGATTAATCAGATTAGACAGAAGGTACTTTCTGCATATTTTCCAGTTTTAGGATCATGTAAAAATGTAAATTCCTGATTTAATTCCCTATTTTAAAGGAAAATAAACATTTTATTGCCTAAAATTAAATATCAGCTTAATATTTGATCATGTTTGATCAAATATTATTTTAGCATCAACATGAGAAGTTCAGGCTTTTAAACATCCATACAGTTTAGATCTGATCCACTGATTATTTATCGATGAACTCATTAATAAATGACTGATCAATAACTGGATGTAAAAGATGCTTACAATGTGAATTAAATTCTTTTATTTTTTGATCTTTAATAATATTAAATTTTGTTAGCAGGTAAAAAAAATTAAAAAAATACTGATTTTGCATTATTGATTAATTTCATTTTGTGAATAAATGAAGATTCTACAAACAAATTGTCCTTCAAGACGATTTAGTTGAGATCAAAACACCAGAGAGAAACTTTCATCCTCCAGCTTTGGTAAAAAAAAAGACAAATAATGCAAATGGACAGAATTGATATTGTTCTAATTTAATATGTGATTTATTGATTTATTGCTTATTGTGACTACTTGACGTATTTATAGTGGTTATAAGTGATCGTGAATATTAATTATTACTGTATTGATCTGAGTTTGATCCTGCGTGTTTTTGGTCTCAGATACGGAGAGAACGGCTCCATCTCTCTGGACGGCCTGAAGCGTCTGCTGCAGAGCGTCGGCCTCGACCGGATCCGGAACGTCATGGTGAAGCACCGGGAAGAACCCGGCCACCACCATCAGCACCAAACGCATCATCACCATCACCATCCGGGTCGGCACCCGGCTGCCGACCACAACAGAACCGAGGACCTGCAGCAACCAGCCCACTGTGTCTGCGGGTCGCGACGGCAGAACCGCAGACGGCAGAACTGCAGACGGCAGAACCGCAGACGGCAGAACCGCAGACGGCAGAACCGCAGACGGCAGAACCGCAGACGGCAGAACCGCAGACGGCGCCGGATTGTTGGTGAAAACCCAAAAGAGAAGCTTGGCTGGAGAAGGAGGGACCACGGTCGTTAAAACCGAGCCAGCGGACCAGGATCATCTGCAGAACCGAGCCTGGAGAATGAAGAGGTTCGGCTGACACAGGAAGAGGTTCTCTGTAGCATAGATCTATAGATCTACAGCCCAGCTGCTCCTCCACCGGTTTCTTAGTAAACACATCTGAGTTCAAAAGCAGAAATATTTATTATTTTAATCTGGTTTTCAGATTCTTTACCAGCAAAGTTCATCTTTCAGGAACTCATGATCGTTCATGGAGCTTCTTTACAAATGTTCACGCTGACGTTAGCGATAGCCGCTACATGTTTCACATTAAGATGCCATTTTAGACTAGCATAGCGTTTCGCTAACTCCTATTAGCATAACTAAGACACAACACGAGTTTTCCAGCGTCCAATCAGATCGTTTGAAGCAGAAATGAATGGCTTCAGATGCAGCTGTGATGTAAATAACGACTGACTGAGTGTTGGTATCTCCTGCAGTGCCTGAACGCCTCGGGCCTCCTCCTCTCACACGGGATGTCCCAGGAAGGAGGCGTCGCCCTGGGAGACTTTGCCTTCCTGTGCCCCGCCCTCCTCCACCAGATCGACAGCGGGGCGTGTCTCCTGCACGGCGACGCCTCCCGACACGAAGACGCAGGTAGGAGAGTCAGACTGGAGCTTTTATCAGAGAAAACATCTGGATTACCAGGCTCTAATCTGGATTAACAGGCTCTAATCTGGATTAACAGGCTCTAATCTGGATTAACAGGCTCTAATCTGGATTAACAGGCTCTAATCTGGATTGACAGGCTCTAATCTGGATTGACAGGCTCTTATCTGGATTAACAGGCTCTAATCTGGATTAACAGGCTCTAATCTGGATTAACAGGCTCTAATCTGGATTGACAGGCTCTAATCTGGATTGACAGGCTCTAATCTGAAACTTTGTCATGTTGGCACCTAATTGCATCATCAGCAGTTTCTGCTTCTGTTTATGAAAATAATAATTTGACCAAACCAGTTTGATTTGTTGCTTTTTTAGATTCTAGTTTTTATCCAAACAAAGAACTCTTCAGAAACTGACGTTTGAAATGAATTCAGTTTCAAACTGAAAACCTTCTGAATCAAGCAGTATTTTTTGAGTCGTTTATAGAGTATCGCTTGTACCTGCTCCACACTGACCAATAGAAACGCTGTTGCTAACGGCGACCTGCATGATGATGCGTCTTATCCTTCAGAAGAAGCTCCGCCTCCAAAAATAAGATGTGATGATCATTTATAAAACTAATCTAAAAAATAAACTCTGAAAAATAAAACATAAATAAAACATGAAAAACAAAAAGTGAGGAAATCTCTGTTTTTTTTTTTTTAGGACATAAACACCATAAACATTCACACGGTCACCATGGAAACCACAGCGAGCCCCACGGCGGCGAAAACGGCAAACACATCACAACAGGTGAGATGACTTCAGGCTGGGAGGTCAAAGGTCAGTGGATGGGTTTAACGGTGAAACCAGTTTCCTGCTGACCTTCATCAAACAGATTCACACAAAACGAGGAGAAAACGTCATAAAATAAATAAATTCTTCAAGTTTTAAATCGTTCTAGATTCTCCTCTATCAGAACATTAAAGATTTGGTTGTTTTTCACCTTTAAATAAAAGCTGAGCTGCTCTTCCAGCCCCATGAAGCCAACGGTCAGTCGGGTTAAAACACAACGTGGTCAGAGAAACGCTGAGCGGTGACTGAAGTTCTGCCTCTGACGGCTCTGGGACGCTCTGGTTTGTTGCAGCCTGGGTCGGCGGCTTCGTCTCCATCACCGTCATCAGCATGCTGTCGCTGCTGGGCGTCCTGCTCATCCCGCTCATGAACAGAGTCTTCTTCAAGTTCCTGCTCAGCTTCCTGGTGGCGCTGGCCGTGGGAACGCTGAGCGGCGACGCCTTCCTGCACCTCATTCCCCACGTGAGTCAGAGCGAATTTATTTACATCAGCAGAAACTCCACCAGCAGCTTAGCTTAGCCTAGCTTAGCTTAGCCTAGCTTAGCTTAGCCTAGCTTAGCTTAGCCTAGCTTAGCTTCTGGTGTTCCACAGGGATGAGTTATTAGCTCCCTCTTCCTCTTCCTTCTGAATTTAAATGTATATTTAAGAAATAAAAAGACACTTATATTTTTATACATAAAGAAATAAAGAAGCTGCTGGAAAAACAGTCAAACTCTTTCTGATATAATTATATTGTCTTAAATTGTCTCGGCTTTGAAGTTTAAGGCTAAAACTCAAGACATTTAAAAGCCAAAATATTTTATTATGTAAAATGCTGAAAACAAAACGGACAAAAAATGGGAATAAATCCTGAATCTAAAGACGATGGTCTGGATTTAAATCTGTATCTTTCACTTTTTCCAAAAATCAAACCAATTAAAATGTTTTGTTTTTTCACACTTTTGCATACACAGCAATTTCTCAAAATAAAATTCAGCCTGCAGATTATTTTTCCATTTTGGATTTTTGACTAAAATTTCAAATGTAAAAATTGAGAAATTTTTGGGTTTCGTTGTGGATGATTAAGAAACAGAAAATAATTACTTTTCCATTTTCTGATCTTTGGATCTCAACTGTAAATCAGACCTGCATCTTTAACCATCTGACCCCATCAGCTGTAGTTTTTTCTTCCACTAAATCATCTCTGCTGCTCTGAGAGGAGATGCTGCAGGTGTCAGAGCAGCTGCAGCATCTCCTCTCAGAGCAGCATCTCCTCTCAGAGCAGCTGCAGCATCTCCTCTCAGAGCAGCTGCAGCATCTCCTCTCAGAGCAGCTGCAGCATCTCCTCTCAGAGCAGCTGCAGCATCTCCTCTCAGAGCAGCTGCATCATCTCCTCTCAGAGCAGCTGCAGCATCTCCTCTCAGAGCAGCTGCAGCGTCGCTCAGGCGTTTTGTTTTTTCTCTTCAGTCTCATGGGAACCACGACCACTACCATCACCATGACGACCACTACCATCACCTGGGCGACCAATACCATCACCATGACGACCACTACCATCACCTGGGCGACCCCAACGACCTTCACCCTCACGGCGACGCCGAGGAGAACATGGACGGCGTGTGGAAAGGCCTGACGGCTCTGGGCGGAGTCTACTTCATGTTCCTGATCGAACACTTCCTGACTCTGGGAAAAATGTACAAAGACAAGAAGCAGAAGGTCGGAGGCGAAACTTTGATGTTTTCTGGTCACGTTGATTCTGATTTTATTTTGAAAGAACCAGCAGAAGCAGCAGCACAGCCTGATGACAGCATTACCTCCGCCTCTGTGGCAACAATATCTGATCATTAATGCAGCAGGAAATAGTTCAGGAAGCCTTAAAACGAGAGGTTTGGTTCAACCAGCAGGTGGCGCCACATGCAGCTTTTTCAACAAAACTGTTTGCAGTGAATTTAGATTTTATATACAGTCCTTATAAAATAAATATTAAAACTAAACAAGTCATAATCCAGCAGAAAACAAAATGATTTTATTCTCATCATATTCAGACTTTATTGTTCAACTTTTATGTTTTTTTCCTCATTATTAGGATTTTGTAATTTTATCAATATTCTCATTATTGCGACTTTATAGTAATATTTTGACTCTGTTGTTGTAATTTGACAGTTTTTCATGTCCTGTCATATAAACATTGACCTCAGGGTTTATGGAGGTTCTGGTTCTGTTGGTTCTGTTGGTTCTGCTGGTTGTGATGTTCATGTTTGTTCTCCTGTCAGGTCCAGAAGAAGTGGGACCAGACGGACAAATCGGACCCGGAGAAGCAGCCGGCTCTGGAGGAGAGTGGGCTGAAGCCAAGCGAAGGTGCGAGTACGTTCTGGTCTGGCTCTGGTTCTGGTCCGGCTCTGGTCCGGTTCTGGTTCTGGTTCTGTTCTGGTTCTGTTCTGGTTCTGGTCCGGTTCTGGTCTGGTCCGGCTCTGGTTCTGGTCTGGTTCTGGTTCTGGTTCTGGTCTGGTTCTGGTCCGGTTCTGGTTCTGGTCTGGTTCTGGTCTGGTCCTGGTCCGGTTCTGGTCCGGTCCTGGTCCGACACAGAGCTCTCCTCTCAGACGCTTCCTGTCTGCTCTCCCTCCATCAGACGTGGAGCCGAACGGCGCCGGAGCGTTCGGCGAGCTTCCCGGCGGCGTGTCGGAGGAGGAGCAGGTGATGCTGGCGCCGCAGGTTTCCGTGGCGCCGCAGCAGACGTACGGCCGGCCCGACGGCGCCGGGTACTCGGCCGAGGACTGCGAGAACAAATGCCACTCCCACTTCCACGACACGGTGGGGCAGGCGGACAGCCTGCACCACCATCACCATGACTACCACCACATCCTGCACCACCACCACTCCCAGAACCACCACCCCCACAGCCACGCCACAGCCACGCCCACTCCTACTCCGAGGAGCACTTCCAGCAGGCCGGCGTCGCCACGCTGGCCTGGATGGTCATCATGGGCGACGGCCTGCACAACTTCAGCGACGGCCTCGCCATCGGTGAGCCGCCGGCGCCGCGGACACGCCCCCCTGGGGAGCCTGGCCCCCCTGGGGAGCCTGGCCCTGGGAAGCCGCCAGCGCCGCAGCCTGACCAGTGTCTGTGTGTCTGCAGGAGCCGCCTTCAGCGAGAGTCTGTCCAGCGGGCTGAGCACATCGGTGGCCGTTTTCTGCCACGAGCTTCCACACGAGCTGGGTGAGAGCGCCAACGCCACGAGATCGACTTATTGATCAGTGATCGCATCAATATCACCAATAAATACAGTCACTGTGAGCAGACTGGAGAAAAAATCAGACGCCTTTATGTGACTGGAGTCAGAAAGAAACGTTTTAAAACGCAAATATTTTCAAACAGCAACATTTCTGTTTGTGGGGCTGAAAGTTATGCAGTTATGTAAAAATAGACAAAAATGATTCTTAGTGTCAATTTCATTGTTTTCATAAAATATTATAACAAAATATTTTAGTTCACCAGGTAAAGGTTTTTCTTCATAGTAAAATAGTCGATCAGTTTCTGATGCTGGTCTCTCTCTCTCTCTCTCTCGCCCTCTCTCTCTCTCTCGCCCTCTCTCTCTCTCCAGGTGACTTTGCGGTGCTGCTGAAGGCGGGCATGACGGTTCGCCAGGCCATCCTCTACAACGTTCTGTCGGCCATGACGGCGTACCTCGGCTTGGTGACGGGGATCCTGATTGGCCACTACGCTGAAAACATTTCCACCTGGATCTTTGCCCTGACGGCCGGCCTCTTCATGTACGTGGCGCTGGTGGACATGGTGAGTTGGACCGAACCGTCTCCAGTCCAGAAGTGTCTCTGCAGGACCGAACCGTCTGGAGGACGGGAGCGTCTCATGTCTTCATCAGCTGCACAGTTTGGTCATAAAGTTCAAACTAACTTTGATTAAAAGCCTAAATTTTAAATATTTTCATACATTTAATAAAAATAGAATGTCATATTTTTTTTATCAGACTTTTTTATTTTAGATCAGTTAAAATCATCCAAGTTATTTCTGTTTTTAGATTTTTTTAAAATTATTTTAATTTGAGCAGAAAGATAATTTTTCTAAATTTATTTGAATTGTTTCAACATGATATCTGTTATCACTAATAGATCAATGACTCACTGATCATCTTATATTTTAATCAATACACATATTATTGAATTTGGGTTTAAAATTTTACAGTAATAAATATGAATTAAAGTTGCTGTTCTTAGTTTTTATATATTGTTTTTATCTCAATGTTGAACATTTTGATATCGGACCTTAAAGTTCTGAATTGTTCTGTGGAAACTAGAGATGCATGTTTTCACTCCCGATACGATCCGATATCTGAAAAACATCTGAATTGATTTAAAATGTTTTTTTATTAAACACAGACATAAATTTACTGTATTACTCATTTATTTAATAATTCTGAGTCAAACATGTAGAAACAACTTTAGTTTGTTCAGGCAGCAGAAAATCTATCAGTGGAAAATCAACTAAAAGTTAAATGTTTTAATTTAATTTAATTTAATTTAATTTAATTTCTTCCCTCCAGGCTGATTTATTGCTGCTTCTCTGCTTCAGGTGCCGGAGATGCTGCACAACGACGCCGGCGACCACGGCTTCAGCCACTGGGGCTTCTTCCTGCTGCAGAACGCCGGCATCCTGCTGGGCTTCTGCATCATGCTGCTCATCGCACTGTTTGAGCACAAAATCCAGCTGGACCTGGGGTTCTGACCCGCGCTGCGCTGCATCCTGCTTCAGTTTACGGCAGGAAGCCTGGAGGGAGCCTGGAGGAATCCTGGAGGGAGCCTGGAGGAATCCTGGAGGGAGCCTGGAGGAATCCTGGAGGGAGCCTGGAGGAATCCAGGCCTGGAGTCGCTCAGCCGGGTTCACAGGTGGAAACCGTCTGGAGTTTCTTCTGAGTTTCTTTCACTATGAACACATTAAGTTTCTGTCTGAACTTCATCTTTTGGGTCAATGAGTTTAGTTTTTAAATCATTTTTAGGTTTTTCTCAGTGAAACCTGATCAGTGTTATAAAGGTACAACCGTCCAAACCACAGTTCCTGTTAAACCTGATTCTGTATAAACCTGACAGGAAGCAGAAGACGGGTCATGAGTTACTTTTAGGTTTCTTTTTTTAAATGAATTCTTGTTTTTTCCGCTGATATTTGTGGAGTTTTGTGTTCATGTTGAATCTGTTTCTCGTTAAAATGACATTTTTCCCAAACAGCTTTAGAAACTTCAGCTCTGAAATGTTAAACAGGAAATAATCCCTGAAATGAAATGATTGATAGAAGCACCAACAGGCGATGCGTTCAGGAACTGAAGGAGCTTTTAGACTCACATGTTGGTCCTCTAAATGATTCGGCTGCTTTTAAAGCTCCGTTTTATTAAAATAAGTCCTGAAACTTCTGGACGGAACCGGAGAGAAAACGGATCCAGTTACAGGAAAGTCCTGAACCAAAGCTGTTAAAATGCTTTTATTTTGAAGGAAAGTTGCTGATTTGGTTAAAATCTTCAGGTTTTGGTTCTGGTTCCTGTTGGTTGAATTTGTAGGTGAAAGTTTGAATCCAGTTTGTTTCTGTTTCATATTTGGTTGTTTATAAATGAATATGGATGTTGGTTATGAATCCATCACCACTGCAGAGATTTCTCCGTTTTCCCAAACAGCCAAACTTTTTCATCCAATCAGCATCAAACTACTTTATTATGACCAGCAGCTAAAAGAGGCTTCATGTTTGCTCTGCTCTCATTGGATGATTTTTCTGCTTCAAGAAAAACGTTTATTTATTTTATTTGTTATAAAATGCACAAACTGATGTTACATTCATCGCTGTGTTTAGAGAATCGTTGTAGAAATGTTGTTCTGCTGACTGCAGGTCAGAAAAGCTTTATGGTTTCGATGGTAACAGATTAAAGATGGCAGCTCATAGAAGCAGGTTTTTCCTCCAAGTTTTAATTTTTGTTTATGTTGTTAACATAAAGCAGAAGAAACGGATTGCTCTGAAGTTCAGGTCAAAGTTTCCTCTGTGGATCCATTAATGTTACACTGTAAATATTAGGTTTATGTATCTGTGATGTTTGTCTGCATTATGTTTCACTGACACAAACCCAACCTGCTGCAGAAACCTGGGAGAAAAATGAAAAGGTTTGGGAAACAATAGAAAAAATAAAATTCATTGAAGATGAAATCTCATGTTTTCTTTATGAATTCAGTTTAATTTCAGATGTAGTTTTATGTTTTCATTGACATTCTGTCCATTCAATACATGTCGTAGTTTTATTATATATCTTTTCTATGGTTGCAGCTTTTTAGATCATAAAGTATTGATCTGTCATGGATTAGGCTGAGATGCAGTCAGACTCCCATTAGGAGCAAAAATGAATTTAATTATGATTCTTATATTACACATAAACCAGGAAACAGAAAAATATTTTTAATGTTTTTCTGATGTATCAGAGTAATAAGAGTCAGACTAGCTTCCCCAAATACATTGATTCTGATAAAATCATTTATGAAGGATTTATATTTCCTGTTTCAAACAAAGCAAAGAGCTTTAAATAAAAGCAAAGAGAGTTGTAAGAACTAAAATCTAAATGACTTTGGGACAATCTGCAGATTTAAGACCTCAGATCAAGTGACTCTTATTGGAGGAGAGGTTTTTCTCCTTTCTCCACTTTAGCCATGACTTCTGCTTTTTGTTTCATCTCCATCAGTGACTGAATCCGTTGTTTCCAGCCTGGTTTTGCTTCCTGTTTCTCTCCTTCAATCAGCAGATCAATGTACTCTGAAGTGGTGAGAGGATTGGGCTTCAGTGCTATCTCCTTCAGTCTGTTCAGACACTTTGCTGATTTGTCTATTAATTTATTCACCTCTTTCTGCATATCATATTCAGCCTGTAGTTTTCTCATTAGTCCCTCTACAGTCATCTTCTGCCCTGTGGCCTTTTCATAATTAGCTTTCAGGTCTGCGACTGTCCGTTTCTCTATAACATCTTTATAATCCCACCTGTACTTTTGGTTGAAATGAACGTTCCAGTAACATTTCCCTGGACACTGAGTGCAGTATCCATTTCTGTCCATCGCCCAACTTTTTCTTTTATCAGCATCATTTGGTATTGGACAAGGGTAATGACAGGTGAAGTGGCACTGCTGACAGTTGGTAATGTAGTTCCCAGAACCTGAGATATCAAATTGTATCGGTTTTTTCACAGTGACCTCAAACTTAAATTTCTCATTTCTACTGATCTCAGCTTCATGCTCTTTGATTTTTTCTCTAATCTCTCTGATCTCCTCCAGTTTGGCCAAACCAAGTTTAACCTGATGCTGCAGATTTTCCACTGAAACCTCGAGCTGTTGTCTTTCTCTCAGGACCTCATTGGTCAGAGTCAAACTTTTGGTTTCTATCTGATTTAGAGCAGCAAAAAACCTTTTCATGCTTTTTGTTCCCATGTTCCAAAACATCTGATCAAAGTTTCCATCGTCATCATCACTCTGAGTCTCTGCTGCAGAGGATTTATTGTCAGCAAACAGAGCAGAGTTGTTAAATTTGAAGTGAACTGGAAGACCATCTTCCCCTTTCGGACTTGGTACGCCTGAAGCTTTGATTGCTTCTAGAACTGGAGGCTTCTGACTATCTGCAAATGTCACCAGGATCCTGATGTTTTCTGCTATATCTTTGCCAAAGATGGAGAGAATGGAATCAAAGATATATTTCTGTTTTGGTGTGAGACGAGCTAAAGCAGCCTGAGCTACAAAACACACAGCATCAACCTCACTGACCCCGTCTTTACTAGTGAAGAGGTTACAGAGCTGCTCTGTGATCTCCCTGTCTCTCTCTATTCCTCTGGTGTCTCCAAAGCCTGGAGTGTCTATGATGGTCAGAGAGAAGGGAACCTGAAATCCCTCTCTGTGGTTGAGTTTGTACACAGTGACCTCAGAGGTCTGACTGTGAGCTTGGGATTTTGTTTGACCATCGTCCACTAAGATGAACCGATACGAGTCTGACCATTGAACACCTAGAATGTAATTTATCATCCCGTTGATGAGAGTTGACTTCCCAGCACCTGTAGCTCCAAGAACCATGATGGTGCGACTTTGTTTAGCAGCAGGTTCTCCAAACCTGAAGAACCTGCATCCATTTATTCTGATGTTCTCCTCCTTCAGAGGAACTTTATAAACAGGAAGTGGTCCAATCTGTGGCTGCAGCTCTTTGCTCTTAGCTTTAACAGCATCAGAAAGTCTGGTGCTGTTTGGCTTTGTTGTTTGAACATGAACAATCTTGCTTTCCTTGCTCCTACCAGCCCACCACAGTCACATGTGATCCTGAATGCATATTGTGTTTCTGACTGAAGTCCTGAAATGATGGCCGTTTCACCTTTTGACCTTGTTTGGTTCCAGGTGTGATCATCTTCTACCTTTGAATATTCCACAATGTAGCTCAGGATGTGAACATCTGGTCCGAGCTCTGCAGGTTTCTCCAACTCACTGATATCTCAGAAGAGTTTGGTTCACCTTGCGGTTCTCCAGGAGGGCTGCAGGGTAAAGTTTTAATGGGATCATTGATGACATTGGCCGGTCCAACACCTGCTGAGGTCACTGCTCTGCATCTGAACACGTACTCTGTGTTTGGCTGCAGTTGGGTCACTGTGATTTCTGATGATTTTGGTTCAGTCTGTTGTTTCCATTCATCTTGTCCAATGACACAGAACTCAACAGAGTAGGATGTGACGCTCTCTGCTCCAAAGCTGGGAGGAGAAACCTTCAGAGTCACACTGCTGTGGTTTATGTCAGCAGCTGTCACAGTTTCAGGCTTAGAAGGAGGCTCAAAGTTTTCACTGATGAGGGAGGCGTCTTTATAAAGGTAGATGGTTGAACCTTCATGTTTCTCATCTGTTAGACCTACTGCCAGGAATGCTGAGCTCTTGGTCTCAGTGTTGGCCTCTGCAAAGTCTTTGAAGAGTTTTGCTTTTGTTCTCATTTCATCTGCCAAGTTGTTTGAGAGATACCATTGTTCCTTCTCGATATCATAACTGTGTGAATCGTCCGAGCTGGTTTTGCTTTTGAGGTAGTTCAGCAAAGCAGAGAGGAACGGTTCATCTCTTTCCAGTGAGCTGAAGACAAAACACACAGCATGCTCTGCATTGAGAACTTCTTCATCAAGGATATTTTGAGATGGGATGATTTTGGTGTTCTTCATCATCCTGGTGTAGGATTTCAGGGTATGTATTTCTCTCTCTTTGCAGTCAATCCAGCCATTGAGGTTTTTGCTGCTGAAAGGTGAGGAATGAATCTCCTTCAAGACATTTGCAAGCTCAGACTCTTCTTCTCCTCCTCCTCGGATTGATGGGAATTTCTTTGCTATCGTTTGTTGAAATTCAAGCCTGAACTCAGAACACAAACTTTTAAAACGTTTAAGTTTTTTGATAATCTGTGGAAACTGCTGTGTTGTAGGGTTTTTCATTGCATCATTGCACCTTATTTCCAGGTCACTGAGCTCCTCCAGGACACTTTGTACTTCTTGAACTAACCTAATACTTATTTCACGGACAAGTTTAGCTGCAGAAGAATCTAAGTTGGTCAGAGGCAGCATCCAGACCTTGATTGGTACGGCATTTTCTCCACTGGCCCCCAGCAGCTTGGGCAGGCTTTGGTAAACTGCTACTGCATCCTGGAAGGTTGTTGGAGTTTTCTCAAGTAGGAAGTCTCCATAAAACTTACAGGAGAACTTCTGCATTAATTCCTTGTCCTTATCTTCCATGTGTAAGGAACCTTCACCTTCAATAGTTAGGGTTGGAATCTTCTTAATCAAAACTTTCAAGCTGCCATGAATGTCTTGGTGATTTTCTGTCTCAGATTTTTCTTGGTCAAAGACAAAAAATGCTTGAGCTCCATACAGAATGCCTGTGACCACATGTGTTGCTATTTTGTTCTCAAAACATATGGATGCTTCATGTTGCCTCTTCCAAGATGATTCATTGATAATTCTTGGAACTTTGTGGTAGCTTTGTACTTCAGTGTTACTCTGGCTTGATTTTTGGACGTCATCTGATCATTGAGGTATTTGGCTGATCCTTCAACTTTAACTAGGCCACCTAAAAAACTTGCTTTCAAAGATGCTTCAACATTCAGGACTGAAGATTTGTCCTCAATTGATTCAGAAGCAACTATCTCAAAGTCACTGTTTGGTTGTGGGGTTTCTCTTTTGTCTTTTTCCAAGTCATCACGATCCCAGAGTGTCAATCCTGTAGAAATAGAGAGAAGACGTTTATGTGGGAATTTCAAATGCAATTATAGATTCAAAATACTGACAGTCACTATTAAAAAACAGTCATTTCAGTATTTGAAATAATAATTTCAATTTGAGCAACTACAACATTGTATCAGTTTTTCATATCGGTATAGAGCACAAAGCTTTAAAAGAAGGCAAAGTTTTACAGGATGGACCAAAGTGCAGACAGGAATGTGGATCATGTTGAAAGTATTTAATGAAAAACAAAAGATATCAAAAATGACTGTAGTCAAGGAAAAACACAGATAATAAATCCAAAAGACATCCAGCAAGGAGACACGGGGAGAACATAGAGAAGCATAGAGAAATGACGGCCACTGACAAGAGGAACCGGCTAAGAGTGACTGAGAATGAGAAGCTTAAATACTAGGGAGGTTGAATGCTGAGCAAAAGACCTGGGCTGATGAGTTAACAGGTTGTAGGTGTGAGTGGAGAAGGAGCGTATACAGGGAAACAGGAAGTAAATCTAACACAATAACTAGACTGGAGAAACATAAAACTAGAGCGACAAAAAATAAATAGAAGCAAGAAATAAACTAGAATCAATGAGGAAAAACTGAAGTGGAAATGGAAACGAGGCAGAACTAAGAGAAAAACTGAGGAACACAAAAAATAAAAAAAAACTGAAACAAAAACAGAACCCAACACATTGAATCACCAACAGCATCACTGGCTTGTGTTAGGTATTTTCCTCGAACCTACAATAAAATAACCACAGACAACGTATATGAATTAAACATGGTCAGGCTTCTGCAGAAGGAGAAGTCTCCACCAACAACTTTCTTCAAGTTGTTCATAGAGCGTTCTGATCTGCTTTCACGTGAGCTCCCACTTTATTGTCAAAGAAAAACAGTCACGTGGTGCAGTCAGGAAACAACAGAGGTCGTAAAACATTTAACACAAACAGACCAACAACTCAGTTCCAGGTGTGATATCTAATTTACAATCTGAGCCCAGTTCAGCTCTAGGTCAAACTGTCACCTAAGACTGGGTAGATAAACACCAGAGAAGACTTTAAGGTCTGAGAACCATAAAGTTTTACTACCTCGCATGAAGACAGTCGTAACCTCCAGGTCAGCCCATACACACATAAGGAAGAGAACACTTTAACAAAATGATCATATCAAAAAATCTCTAACAGCTTGTTTGTATAAAGTCCTGAACGGATCAAAGATCAAAGGCTAAAATACTGAACTATAATCATCTACAGTAGTACGACAAAGGAAAGCAACTTAATCTTTATGTTTTCTATTTCTTTTGTTGTTGGAAACTTTTTAACCTAAAAAGTCACATGAAGAAAACAGATCCAGACGACCAAAAAAGAACTTTTACTTTACTGCATTTTCTCAGATTTTTATTTTGTGGCCCAAGGCAAAACAACCCAAACCAGCTGGTTTAACCCCCAGACCTTCAGGGCCTCCATTAAAGCTTTAACTGTAACATGGATCATTGATCTGAAAGTTTAGCATTCATTTATTGAGAATGACAATGCCAATAAATTTAATTTCATGGTTTCATTGGAGATCAAATTTGAAATGGTAAATGTAGAATTAAAAAGTAAAAATAATCTTCATATTGTGATTGTTGTGTTGCCATGGCTACAATCTGATGCTATCAGTAATTGTTGACAAATTTACCTGGTGCCAAAACTGACATTACATGGTGCATTTAAAGACTGCTAGGAAAATCCCATTATGGCATGTTAACATCAGATTTCACAGTGGTAACAACTGAAAGTGCAGGAAGCACAGAAAATACAGATATCGGATTGTGGGGATCTGCGTTAGGGTCACGTATTTTAAGACCCTGAAAATAAAACGTTAAAAAATAAACTCTATTTTTTGAATATGTTTAAGAACATGTCAGCTGCATTTCTGTCATGTTCTGTGTTTTTCTGTGTGTTCATTTTGAGTTTCTGTGTTGTCCTGTCTTCCCACTGATTGCTCCCAGGTGTGTCTCGTTCCTTGATTACCTCCTGTGTATTTCATGTCACCTGTGTCTCAGCGTCTCTGTCGGGTCCTTGTCGGATGTTCCCAGTCTGGCTGTCTGTCCATTTATATCGCCTGTTGCTACCAGTGCTGAGCCCCAGTCTCCTGCTCAACTGTGCTGCCAGGTTTTTGGACTTTTTGGATTCTGTTTAGACTGAGTATTTTTGGTTTTTCATCATTAAACATCAGCATCTCATTTCAACCTGGGTCTACAAGCGTTTTCCTCACCGCCTCCTCACACCACCTGACTATTTCCAACCAACTTCTTAATTGAATGAAAAACTCTTAAAATCTAATAATTTTGGTAGTACTTTTTTAGTTTGCATTTTATTACATTGTGGGTTTACTATGATCCATTCATGTGGTCTGTTTAGCTGTAATAATGTTTTACCAAACTTTCCAAGACTTTTGCAACGTGAAACGTTCATTCAGGTCAAATGCTGCTTCTTTCAGACATCTTGAAACAACAACTTTACCTCCACATGAGCATTTTATTTAATTAATGCTTGTTTGTGAAATAATCACTCGTGATACCGTATGAAAACAGTAAGTGTGATTTTATATTGCAGCCCACAATAAAATAAAAACTCACCACTTTTCACAACATAAATCAGTAGATGACTAGTGGGTTGGATATGAGGCAAAGTTCTTTTGTGCCCAATGAAGAAATTTCCTGTTCTCAGCAACATTATGCAAACCAGTTAAACCTGACGGCCACACCCAAAAATAACAACCTCGAAACTAAAACAGATTTAAACAAAAACCGCATAACTCATAACTGAACATATAAAAGAATAAAGGAAGGACAAAATGACAGAAAAAATGAACAACAACCCAGATCTATTCCCCTCACAAAAAGAGGTAAAATTAATCATTTATTAATGACAAAATGTAAATCTTTACCAGGAATGACTGTATCATGGCGGCAGTCGTACAGCATCCCGATTCTGAACGGTCGGCCCAGAGTCGCCACTTCCATCACTTTCTGAGGCTCCATCTTGATTTAGAAATAATAAAAGATT